ATGGATGGATGGATGGATTGTGATAAGAATTGTACAAGCCCCCAATAAAATGATTCCAAAAAAACCCAGAAAGCAAGGGCGATCAGTCAGGCTAGAAGATGAGATGAAAACAGATTATGGAAATTTGAAGGTCTAAATAAAATGGTAGGCATTTATAGGAACTTCTGGAGTCTGAGTATTTTTTTAATGTGATTAAGAAAGAGTGAATGTGTAAGGGACAAACACAGGTCTGTTGTCCACTGTAATTGTCCAAGCCAGAGGGAAGAAGCTGCTCAGTCGGTGTAGAAGGCACCAGTAGTATTAACTCTTTCACGATCTCCAGTGGCTATCCGATGGATTCTGATTCACGGCAACCTCATGTTTGTCGGCGGAGAACTGGGTGCTCCGTGGTCTTCCCAAGACTGTGACCTTTGGTACAAGATCGCCAGACTCACCTACAAAGTCCACTGAGAAGACCCTCTAACCTCTCAGTGAACCATTTGCCCCACCCAACCACCCACGTTCCCTTGATGCACTGCAGTGTACATCTAACCTCCCTTGGATGTGTATTCCTTTAAATTACAGCTCCTAAGCCTCCCATGCCCACTCTGATTCAGTAGTTCTAAATGGTTGGATCATTGCTTGAAAACATTAATGTAAGGAGAGTACTGACACCTAAATAAAGCAGATGTGGATTTGAATTTTAGTTTGATCTCTTGGGGGGTTGAATTTTACTGCTAGCATTGACCAGCCATGCTCTTAGGCAAGCGATTTGGCCTTTGCTGGATGCCACTTCCTCATTTGACAATGGGCACAGCACTATTGGTAGGACTGAATGAGAAAAGGTGGCCAGAACCTGGCATATTTGACAGTTGGACTGATGACGCTGAGAAGATGGGAGGGATGGACACTAGAAGGGTGTACTGGTAGCTTTTCCCTTATACTGAACTGTGTCTTATCTTGTATATCTTGCACAACGTTTTTCTCAGGACTAGAACACAGTGCTTTAAGTTCAGAGATCTCATTCATTGTCACATGGCCCATGGAGTGTAGCTGACTGAAGATTTTCTGTCCGAATTTGTCTCTGGCTGCATTAGCTTTCCTCTTCAATTTCATATTGTACTCTTGGGTTCTTTGAAGCTAGAGACCGGAGCCTTGCCTTTTGTTCATAACGCTTGGTAAACTCTAGGTGTTGGTTAGTATTATTTAAGCAGATGAATAAATGAGCACATGCATGAATGTTTGGATGGATGGATGGATGGATGGAT